CTAGTATAATCATCTACGTGATAGTTTATTGTATATATCATTCTTGACCAAAAGTTATCCAGATCTTGTATGCAAATCTCCAGTGCTGGACACTCACTTTCTTATAAGGAAGCACATTCTGGAGAGTTCCAGGCTTTTGAAAACTTGATGTGGATCACTTTTCTCCCTGAGCTTACCTTGAGGCCAGACTTGGTACTTCCTCACATCCCTAGATAGCAGATCCAATTCCACAAATTCTTTGAAAGTGAGTAGATCTTACTTACCAAGATTGATAAAACACTAAAGACAGAGTTTATATATCCTACAGAAAAATTTAATTAAAATCCTCCTTAGACATATTTGAGTCCCCGGTTTTCTTTTAGACCTAGAAATGCTACCCGTCTCTTTTTCTCTTCCTCTGCCTCAGCTGATGAGTTTCCTTATGTTTTCAGTGCAATTCAACTTAGGCTCTCAGCTGGTAGAGCTTTCTCAAAACAAAAGCCCTTCAGCTACAGGAAGCTGTCCTTGTAGAATGCAGGCGAGTGGCCATCTATTGTTATTTCACAAGCACTGGCTGAAAACCACCAACCAGTATGTAACCACTTCCCCCTTCAACACAGATGGTCTATTACAATATTTGCACAACCAAACTGTTTTTGAGATAGAGTGAGGAGGTGGTTGCAAGCAAAGGGCATATGTTGAGAGGAAAAAATAAGATTAAACTACTAAAAAATATAAAATTTTCTCTGCACTTCACTTACATATTAATACTATGTAAACGAGTGTCCTAAAGAGCTATTATATTTAGATAAGTGCCTCACTTGCTCTTAAATAGAAATTAAGAATTCTTTTATTAATTGGCTTTATTGTTAATTTTTATAATAGCTATAATTCACATAACATTCACAGTTTAACAGTATGCAATTCAGTGGCTTTTATTACATTCACAATTACTACCACTAATTCCAGAACATGTTTCTTAACCCAAAATAAAACTCCTCACCCACTTTAGCAGTCATCTCTATTCCCTCCTTGTAAATAACTAATCTACTCTGTCTCTGCGGATTTGCCTATTCTGGACATTGCATGTAAAAGGGATGACACAATATTTGATCTTGTAATTGGTTTATTTTACTTAGCACAGGGTTCTCAAGATTCATCCTTATTGCAGCTTGTTATAGTACTTCATTTTTCTATGTCCAAATAATATTTCATTGTGTTGTAGGAGACCAGAGTATGCCTGCCCCAAATCAGAAGGACTGATGAGTTGAAGACTTTTAAGAAGACTCAGATACAGAAAAGCTGTCTGCCTTCCCCATTTTAACTAAAAGCAGGACATATATTTGTAAAGATGCTCTTTCTCATTTCCCTGTCAGGGATGGAATTTGAGCCAGATTTCTAATCCACTGTTTTGAGTTGCCTTTCCTGAGGCTTCTCCAACGTAATGGCTTATACATGGGTTAAAAAGCTTATTTTTCTCTTATTAATCTGTCTTTTGAAACAGGAGTCCTTCCCAACCATGAACTTACAAAGAAATTATATTTCACCTCTGACAGTGTGGATACATGGCATTTTGTTTATCTGTTCATTAGTAGATAGACATTTCAGTTGTTTCCACTTTTGGCTACTATCAATAATTCTATTAACAGTTACTGTGTAGATAAATGTTTTCCAGTAGGAGTGGAACTGCTGTCATATGAGAACTCTGCTTGTACTTTTGAGGAACAGCCAAACTGCTTTCCAAAGTGACTGCACCATTTTACATTTTCACTAGCAAGTATAAGTGTTCCACTTGTTCACACCCTCACCAACACTTGCTCTTACCATTTTTATTCTAGCCATCTTAGTGAGTATGAAGGGATTCTCTGTGGTGGTTTTGATGTGCATTTCCCTGATGGCAAATAGTGCTTAGCATCTTTGTATGTGCTCATTTTCATTTATACACTTAGAAGAAATGAATGTTCAAGTCATTTGAGCTTTTTAAAATTGAGGTGTCTATTGTTGAGTGGTGAGAGCTATTTGATATGACAGCTAACAAATCCCTTAGCAGAAATATGATTTGCAAACATGTTCTCCCATTCTGTAGGTTTTCCTAAATAGTAATTTATGTTTTGGCAACACTTGATTATTCAAGGGTTAAAGCTTTGCCTCTCTCTTGGATTTGTTCCAATTTAGAAATGCTAATACGTGCAGCAGACTCTAAAATGAAAGCACAGAGGAAGGAAAAAAAATAGAGTCTAGCAGAGAGTAATGTGCTCAATTAACTTTGGCAAGCGGATGAATAAAATGTGTATATTTACTCCTGGTTCATACCACTACTCTGACTTGTGCTCCCCTGCTGAATGTTGAGCAATGGTGTTCAGTTCATGGCTTGAAGGTCTGACAGGGAGCTAAGTGTTGGAAAGGGTTACCTGTTTCCATACTTAGTGTATACGCTAAGCTTTCTGTCTCCTCCACATTGATGCTCTAAGCGTGGCCAGGTGAGAGCCTGCAGGTTTCTCATGGTAAGAGGCACTTTTATGTTCTGCTAAGTTTAAGACTCAGGGACTTAAGAGAAACAGTTGTTTTGGCATTTCAGTACTGATGCTGTAGTGTCTTCAGTGGTTCTGGGCTTTTATATAGTGACTGTTTATTTGGAGGTTCACTTAGGGGATTTCTCACATTAGTACTCCTGATCTGAGAGTGGTGCCCTGAGTATGGTCCACTTTCTCACTGACCAGACACGTAGTTGTAGGCATGTGGATCTGCAGCTGGGAGAGAGGCCAGCCATATTTCTTGCACTTCTGAGCAACTGAATCCACCTTGGAGACTGGATCACTGACACAGTCCTAGTCAGTGTGCCTGCATGTGCACATCCCTTATAATAGTTTACCAAGAGCATTTCACAACTGCAGTTTGACATAACCCCATGTATACTTTGAGGGTTAAAACACAGGAAAAATCAGCATGATTCAAGCTAGGAAGAATCAAAGGAATTCTAGTAGGGACTGCTACTAGTTGAAGCTGAGAAATGAAAGGAGAAACATGCATAAAGGAAACAGACTAGGGAAAGGCAGAAGAACAAAGAGAGACAAGACACTCGCTTGTAACTGGATATAAACAAGAGTGTACCTTACAGAGGCCAAGCTGGCTGGCCTGCTCGTATTACTCAGCTCAGTTATTCACTTAGTGGCCAAAACCAAGATAACTGCCAGACATACGGACACAGGCGCATAGTGCTAACTAGTGAAACATCCATGTGCTTATGGGTATGCAGAGGAGGATCCCATTAGAGAAAAGGCAAAAGGAGATTTTAAAAAAATTCATAGATTTTGGAGTATCTTTGTTCTTTCTGGTCACTGTAACCAAATACCCGAGACTGGGTAATTTACGAACAGGAGAAATATATTGCTCACTGTTGTGGAGACTAGGAAGTCCAACTAAGATCCAATTGTCAGAAGATTCAGTATCTGATAAGGGTGGATTTTTCACAGATGGAGCCTTTTACCTGTGTGCTCATGGCAGAAGAGGCAAGGTGCTCCTCTGACTCTTGCCTAAAAGCTCCAATTCCATTTGTGTGGGCGCTACCCTCATCTCCTTTAGGAGATGGTGCTCCATCATTTCCTAAAGGGCCCCACTCTTAAACCTACTGCACTGAAGATTAGCTTTCTACACTTTCTACACTTTGGTTGGGGGGAAACAGAGTTAATATGAACATGTTTGTTGTCTCAGTCGAATTTGGAGGAAACAATTTCTAAATCCTAAAGCCATTTATAATATCACTTTAGTATTTATGGAAAGCTTTTTGCTCCACATAAATGCAAGCACTTTTAGACTTACATGGCTGCCTATCATCACAATATTCTCAAGAAGGAAAAAATCTATTTCACCAATTTGTTTAAATCTCAGAGGTGAAGTGACTCTGTTCTGGATGCAGGAAAATATGGTTACTGATATTTAGATCACTGCACAAGCTAGGAAGTGAACTGGACACTTCACATATGTAAATTCTTTTAATTCTTATACAAATCCCACAAGGTGGGGCTTATGATAATTTCATAGATTAAAGAAAATATGTAAATCACTGAGCTGGTAATGGTAAAATCAAAACATGCCTGTTGTAACTTGGAGTGATATTTATTAGGCTGTGCCATGTTCTTTTTCATTGGTTCTGCCTGACTGAGAGCAGCTGTCTAGAAGCAGGGACAGAACGGATCTAAGCCCATGCTTAGTTATGCTGTCTGATTCTGGTGGGGAAGGAGGTAATGGCATCTAATGTAGAACCTACAGCATGGCAGAATGAGTGAAGTGTAACAATCCTTAATTCTAAGGAGCTCAACGGAGGCTTTCTGTGACACAAAGCAGCTAGTGATAAACTGCAAAAGCTCCCTTTCTTCCAGCTGCATTTTTACAATATCTTCCTTTTCCTTCTCTTTTTTGACCACAAGCATGATATTAACCATGCTAATTTATTTTATCCCCCCATCAACTGCCTAGTTTTCAAATTTTATAGAAGTTTCCTTCCTTAAAATGATGTCTTCCCAAAGGGAGTAACTTTCATTCAGTGAAATGTGGGCTGGAGCAGAAATCCATTTTTGGAGTGAGTGGCCAATGAACCTGTGATGAGCAGCTCGTTAGGTTCTAGATAAGGACATGGCAGCTTTGATCGCCACAGACAGACAAACAGGATCAGTGTCACTCTTATAAAAAGGATGAAAACAACCAGATTTATACCACAAACCATGGTTTCTGTAAACCATGGTTTAGTTTTGTGAATGACAAATATTCCACAGTTTTCTGCTTTAACATCTGTGTTTAAATTTTCAATTTTTAGGTTTGGGTGAACAGATTTAAATATTGAATTTTTACATCTTAAAAAAGAGTAATTTCATTTTATTTTAGAAATTATAGCTATGTCTTTAATAGGTTTTCACATACATGAAAACATTGGTCTTCCAGTTGGGTCTTACAAGGCTCATCATTTTGCAAAGTGATACTTGTGGGAAATTTTGGTTCTGAATCCTAATTAGTCCCAAACTTACCACACCATTTGACTTTCCAATTACGATTAGCATCAACTCCACGGCAGTGAAACTTTGAGTTTCTTGACCTTGTTTTTCTCCAAAACCGATCCTATACATGATTAAGAAAGCAGGCAGGGAAAAAAAGTACTTAAAAGTTTATTCATGTGCATTTTAGTAGCTCAATCAGTGAAGGGGTCATCTTGCTGAGGAGAGAGTTCTTCCATAAATAGGTAAGCCCAGGGAGTAGAAAGAGAACTAGAGTAGCAGTTGAAACTCAAGTTTATGTTCCAGCTTCTGCCATGAACTTCCCGTCTTCTACCCTCTCTTGCCCTTCTTTCTTCACAGGCAAAAGCAAATGGATTGGACTAAATTTGTAATTTTTTATGATATATTTGGAAGGCATAATCCTTATTTACATAAAATCTTATGCAAAGACAAAATATGACAATGAAATCAAAAGATAAGTTCTCACTCTATTTTTCTACCCCTGGAATTACGCAGTGGGCTCCCCAACAAACACCTTCCTGATCCATGAGTTACTCAGTTAGTCCTCTTTTCAATTAGATATGCAAAGCCACTTACATGTGTCCAGCTAAAGTGGTATCCATCAACGTTAAACACAGGCATGATGTAGAAGTACAGATGCTTCAACAATTTTTTCATGGCTGGGTCACTCTTGTATGTTAGAAGGGCCTGAAAGACAAAGGAGACTTTCTTAAGATGAGTTGATACCAAATACAGATTTAAGAAAGAAAAAAAAATACCAAGAATCTTCTCTATTCATAAGAAATACCAAATACCTGGGTTAAAAAGGCACAAGCTAACATGAACTATGCTATTTGACATATTATATTCTTTATTGAGAATTTTGTTTGAATTAAACTGCATGATCAATAATATTTTAGCAAAGCTGGTAACAGATGAAGCGGGCAGCACCTATAGTATTTTGGATCTGGCTGAATGTTTAGGCTGATGATGTAAATAACCATTATACATTTGCTTTTAAAAATAATTTATTTTAGTTTCCACATAATTGGGGACAAAAGCATTATCTACATATATTGGTATCCTTATATGGTACACCATAACACAGACCCACTTGATTGTTTATGACTAATTGGTTTCAACTTTAATTATTATTATTATTAATATTTGGTACCAGGAATTGAATTTAAGACCTTGTACTTGCCAGGCAGGTGCTTGTTCCACTGAGCTATATCCCCAACTCCTAACTTAAATTCTTTTTTTTAAAAAATTTTTATTTTAAAGATAATAAAAAATAGTAAAAAAATTAGAAATGATACGGAATTTCAAAAACAAGATAATAGGAATTCAACAATGGTTGTTATATTGCCTATTGTTATCTTTAAAGTAGTTGTTCAGATTATCAGATATATGCATGTAAAATTGATAAAAAAATTAAGTATTAACTGTTCCTTTCAATAAACCAATAGAAATTAATAGTACAGTTGTCATAGCTACCGTGTGTGTGTATGTGTATATACATATATTTTTCCCTGCTTTCCTTTTATCTTTCTTGTCTCCTTTCCCTCATTCCAGTTCTTTTCTTTTGAGAAGTTTCTTTCTCTTTTACAATATCTGTTGTGCCTTTCAGATTTTATTTACTCTTTTAGGTTCTTACACTAGGGATGCAATACGATGTTTACACATGTGGGTCTGATTTATTTAACTTTTTTTTGGCCTTCCTTTAGACATGGTCTCACTATGTGTTCAGGCTGGTCTCAAACTCAAAATGATCCTCCTGCATCAGCCTCCTGAGTGCTGGAATTACAGGTGTGTGCCACTATGCCCGGCTATTTCACTTATGAGTATGGTCTCTAGTTGCATCCATTTACCTATAAAAACCTTGAGTTTATCTCTCTTTATAGCTGAGTAATACTCCGTTGTATAAACATACCACATCTTTATCTATTCCTCAGTTGATGGGCATTTGGGTTGTTTCCAAGATTTAGCTATTACAAACTGTGCTGGTATAAACATGAATGCACATATATGATGTTTTCAGTTCTGGAAAAATATCCAGGAGTGCAATAGCTGGGCTGAATGGGACCTCTAATCCTAGTTTTTTTGAGGAATCTCCACAATGATTTCCATAGTGATTGTACCAATCTACACTCCCACCAACTGTGGAGAAGGGTTCCTTGACCCCCACAGCCTCTCCAGGATTTGTTATTGGTTGATTTCTTGATGATAGCCATTCTTTCCGGGGTGAGATGGAATCTCAGTGTTTTTTAAATTTGCATTTCTTGAATGACCAATGATGTTGGACACTTTTTCCTATATTTATGTTGTATTTCTTAATTGGAGAAGTGTGTATTCATCTCAGGTGCCCATTTCTGGATGGGTCTTTGAATTTTGGGGGTCTGATATTTTAAAACTCTTCATATGTTCTAGATAGAAGTCCTTTGTTTGAGGGACAGTTGGCTAAAATTTTTTTCCCAGTTTGTGGGTTTTCCTTTTACTCTGTTGGTGATTTCTCTGGATGTGTAAAAACTTTTGAATAAAATGAGATTCCAATTGTTGATTCTTTGAAGTATTCCCTGTGCAGTTTGGTTTTTGTTCATGAACTCTCTGCTTACTCCTACATCTTCAAGGTTTCTACCTACTTTTTCTTCCAGTGGATTTAGTGTTTCTGTTTTAATATTTAGATCTTTAATCCACTTTGACTTTAGTTTAGTGCATGGTGATAGATACGGGTTCAGTTTTAGTCTTTGGCATGTGGAGAACCAGTTTCCCCAGCACCATTTATTAAAGAGGCTATCTCTCTTGCAGTGAACATGTTTGGCCCCTTTGTCAAAGATTAGGTGGCTGAGTGTTTTTTGTAGTTGTATCTGCATCTTCTGATCTGTTCCATTGATCCTGAGGTCTGTTTTTTTGCTAGTACCATGCTGATGGGAAATTTTCTGGTATTACTTCTGCAAATAGTCTTTTTATGTCATTTGTGTTGACTCTTGCTTTTTTGTTGACTTCTGTCAGTCTTATATTGTTTTACTTTGCATCATCCTGCAACTGTTGAATTATTATTTCCTGATTCCTTGTTATTTTTAAGAGATCTTTCCTTTCATGAATGCTAGCTACAATGATATCTTCAAGGTCTGAAAGTCTGTCTTCAGTTTTGTTCAAGCAGTTTTGCCAGCTTTCAATGGAATTTTTAATTTCCTGGATATCTTTTTGAATCTGTTTGATGCATTCTGATTCTTTCCTCTACTGTTCATTCCAGGTTTCCATTATTTTTCTATGCTCCTCTCTTTTTTTATCTATGTCTTCTTTAGATATGCTGAGTAATTCTTTCATTATGATTGTCATTTTTTTTTTTTTATTTCTTCTATAGCCTGATGGAGTTGTTTCTTTACTTTAGTTGCTATCATTTCAGAAATTTCATGTGTGTGACTTCCAAGTTCTTCCATGTTGTTGTGTCCTGGACTTGTCTGGGTGGGGTAGCGGTCTGAGATTGCATTTCGCTCCTTCATTTTGACATTTTAGAAGCTCCTGAAGTTCCCTGAGGCTCAGTGTTTCCCCCATGATGGTGGAATGTGGCGTGGTGCAGAGTCTCTCCCCTCCAGAGCAGCTCACGAAGTTTGCAAGCTTCCCCTGGGCTCAGCATTGCTTCTGTGATGGTGGAGGGGGGCGGGGTGCAGAGTCCTCCTCCGAAGCAGCTCACCTCTAACTTTGATTCTTGAGACTTACTATATACAGATCCTATTCTTCTCTCATGTATTTTTTGTGGAAAGTTTAATAGATTATAGGTCTTTGCAATCCTTACTGTGGCTCTTTTGAGAATTTATGAACCTATAGTAAGCAGTATTCTGTATTTACCTGTTAAAAATTCTATGCATAGAAGTGAATCTAGTGGTATAGTTTTTAAAGAAATTATTACTGTATTACAAATGATATTGAAAATGTTGGGGTATTCTTAAGAGCATGGCTTAAATATGTATTTTATTACACATAATTCAAATATCCCTGAGATTAGCCCAAGTTGGTAAACATTAATATGACTCTCTCTTGGTCTCTTTTTAAAGGGTCAGTAATAATTTGTTGGCCAACTAGATCAACAGAGCTTCCATGTATATACCAAATTTCTACTGTGTGATAACTCAAAGTAGAGGGAAATATCTAGTATGTGATCAATTATATAAATTCTGAAAGTTTGTTCTCTAATACTGTAAGCAGAGCTTCTCCAGTGCTTGGAGGAAATCTTCAGTGGGGGGCAGCAGAGGCAAAGCTATGTGGTTATCTACATCCTCCCTTATAGTTTGGCAGCTATGGCTTTCCATGTCACTCTACAGAAAAAGAGAAGAGATGGAGGGAAAGGATCTGGGGAAAAAGGTAGGAAAGCAGTGATAGGAAAAGGTCATGGTAATCTCTCTCCTTCCCCTCACGGCACTGGGAAGGGTGGCTCACTTGTTTCAGTCCAGAGTGGGGCAGTCTCACCTTTTCTGAGCACAAATGATGTTAGTACCTATGTGGCTAAGCATGGTAGAGATCCATGTGGAAACATTCTCATTTTATTGTTTTTTCCAACTCAAGTGATCTTCAACCTTTTCTTTATTCATTTCTCTATTGACAGATGCTAATGTTGTTTCCATATCTTGTCTATTGTGAATAATGTAGCTATAAGTATGGGAATGCAGACATCTTTATGATTGTGTTAGATCTGTAGAATGCGTGGACTATTGACATTTAACAATATTATTTTTGATTCATGAACATAGTCTGTCTTTTCATTTATTCATGTCTTCTTCAATTGATTTCATCAATATTTTATAGTTTTCACTATAGCTTTTCATAGCTTTCACTTCCTTGGTTAAACATATTCCTATTTTTTGATGGCATTGTAAATGGAATTTAAGCTTTTTCATAAGTTATTACTTGTGTATAGGATTGCTGACTTTTTTTATCTTGATTTTGTATCTTACAAATTTAATAAATTCATTTATTAGTTGTATGCGTAATCTTTGAAATTTTCTACACATAGCATTATGTCATCTGCAAATATAGATAAGTTTGCTTTCTGTTTCTGGTTTGGGTGCCCTTATTTCTTTTTCTAGTTTGATTGCTCTTGCTAGTACTGTGAGTACTATTTTGAATAGAAGTGGCAAGAATGGGCATCCTGGTCCTTTACCAGACCTTAGTGGAAAAATTTTCCTCTATTCCATGTTGATTATACCAGCTGTGGGTTTTTCATAGATGGCCTTTATTGTGGTGAGGGACTTTCTTTTTGTGCCAAAACTTTTACCATTTTTTAAATCAGAAAAGAATACTGAAATGTCTTTCTTTCTTTCTTTTTTTATTTTTAGAAGAAATGTAGTTTATTCAGATAATTCAAGTTCCAAAACAACACTTCTAAACAAGCAGGTTTTTTTTCTCTTATAATGTTTATTCAGTTTTATTTTTCAGTAAATGTTAAAATCAAAGCACCTACTTGAGGAATGAGCAAGGAAAACACTCCAGGTTTTTGAACTTTGTCAAAGTGCAGACTTTTAAAATTAACAATATTTAGATAAGTTTTTTTTAAGAAATCAAATAACATCACAGAGACAGTATTAACAGACTCTGAAAATTGTTGAAGAGTACTTAACTATAATATTCAACTTTTAGTTTAAGAATGTATTATTTCTTTTGTAGTACTGAGGATTGAACCCAGGGCCTCATGAATGCTAGGCCAAGGG